CAGACAAAACCATATGCCATTGTTGAAACGAAGCGCAAAATATTCCCAGTAAGTCTTAAACCTTCTCTGATTTTCTTTTGTTCATTATTTTTCTCTGTCCTTTCCCTCCCTTCAAGTGCTCATTCGATTAAAATGTTCCTTTCTTTTTGCTATCAGTTTACGTGCCTGTTTTGTGTATTCTCATTTATTTAAAAAAGGAAGAAATAGGACAGTACAATTGCAGTAGTAGCAGTTACAGTTGAAAATAGAAAGCAGGCACATTTATTTTTAACCTGTCTGAAAAACTTTTGTGAGTTGGAGGTACTAGCAGTTTTCACTGGTGTTTTGTTTCATGTTGGGTAGAGGACTTAGGGAATGAACTTAAGCAGATATACCCAAGCATGGTGACAGCAATTGAGTTTCTGTTACTATTTCCAAACTCTCATTTCCTATGGCTTTGTATCTCATTTTCAAGGTTTGATCTTATATTCCATCTATAAAGTTAAGATCCATTAGTGTTTGTTTTAAATTTTATATTATGAATATGTAAGCCATAGTACTAATTTAAAATGAGTTCCTTGGCTTGGTGCCTGTGGCTCAAGCAGCTAAGGCACCAGCCACATACACCTAAGGTGGCGGGTTCGAATTCCCAGCCCGGGCCCACCAAACAACAATGGCTGCAACCAAAAAATGGCCAGGCGTTGTGGCGGGCGCCTGTGGTCCCAGCTACTTGGGAGGCTGAGGCAGGAGACTCGCTTGAGCCCAGGAGTTGGAGGTTGCTGTGAGCTGTGATGCCATGGCACTCTACCCAGGGGGATAGCTTGAGGCTCCGTCTCAAAAAAAAAATGAGTTCCTTTAGCATTAAGATTACTCAGTAACCAGTTGGTATTTTTATTGGCTGTGGGGTTATTGTTGAGTATACAAAAACATGTTCTTATCTATTTCTAGTTACAGATAATTATCATACTTCTAAATTCATAATTTTAAGAACAAAAATTAGTGTTGATTCTTTATTTTAATCAAATGACATAGTCACAATAATTGTTATCTAATGCAACAAGAGAATTTTTAGGGAGAAGCACCAACATTGGCTATCCCAGTTGTAACCCTGCTTTATGAAATACAAGGGAACTTTTCTGTTTCATTGTATATAATTGATGTGTATCTGGGCCTATGTAGTAGTCTCAAAACAGGAAATTATCTTACTGGTTTTACCAGTCACGTAATTTATATTTATTTAGTGTCCCATTTATATGCTTATTTTTAAAAAAATTTATTTTGCCATTACTGTTCAAAGGAAAAGGAGGGCTCTATTCAGAAGACCACATTAGTGATTCCATAGCATTTCTTGTATTTGCCATTATGATTCCTTCCTGTTTCTGTGCCATTGACACCTTTGGGAATCTTCTCTTCTAAGGAACTGATGTTTGTTCATTTCTACATATGTTTTAGAATAGGATAGGTAGTTAAGAAACTTTCAAATTTCAGTGGCTCACCAAAGCAGAGGTTCATTCTTACTGACAGACTAGTGTGGATCAAGTGATCCTCCTCAATCTTACAGCTGTGCTTCTGGAAGATGAGGCTTCTATGATCATAGTAAGGGAAGAGAAGGCTGGATATCAGAATGATTTTAAGGTCTAAGCTTGGAAGTAGCTTACATCACTTCAGTTCAGTTGTCTTGGGCAGAACTCATTGTCCCCAGTATTAATGTGCTCCTTGTTGTTTCCCATACTCCCATGCATGGATTCTAGAATAGTCCATCCTTCTAGTTACAAAATAGCTTTTTGTTTCCTTCCCACATGTGTAATATGCTTAGTCCCTTTCCTAGGGAGAAATCCCAAAGTCCTCTTCCATCACTGCAACCAATCCCAAATCCAAGATCACTACATGATGCATAATAGTATGTCAGGTTTAGATGTGACAAACCTTTAGATCTTTTTGATTAATGAACTAAGGCAAGTTACCTGTATCTCCTGCACCCCCACCCATACCTATTGCTCAATGGTAGACTAGCACAGCAGTCACTGGTTTTTGGCAATTATGAAATCCCAGTAGTTACTCCTAACTCCTGTATATGGGAAGTTACTTGAATGGAAGAAACATCTTTGTCCATTGTTCTTCCTAGTACCTGGCTCTGGCCACAGAGTTCTTTTTCATTATTAACCTAGATTACATCTAAATGGGCGTTGGGAAGCATGCCCTCCTTAGGAGTTGTACAGCCTTCAAAATGTGTCTCCTGCTCACAGGTTGAGTGTGAGAGGTTGTTTTAATTTAAGATATTCACAGGGGTTGGTAGTCTATATGTTTGGTTCTTTGTGCATCCATTTCCCTCAACATTTGGTAGCCATGGAAAGAAAAATACCTGGTAAGCGTTTAGTCTGTTTGCTTCAAGTCAGTCCCTAGTGCCAGTATTTATTCTTTCTGTATGTTGTTATCAACTCTTCATTTCTTTGCCCTCATTTGCCTAATCGATTCAGTGGCAGCTATGTGGAGGTCATCTGTATCAGACTAGTTCAAAGGCTACCTTCATTTTAACCTAATTTTTGCCACAGGGCTGAGCTCCTCTCTTTTTATCGGGCTTTTGTTGCTTAGAATCTCTGTTAACTCTGTTTAGGGATTCAGAAGCAATGTGATTTTCCAGTACTGCAAGGTCTCCAGTTACTAGATTCTCTCCATTGTATTTCTCCTCAGCTGTTTTTTGCCTGAGCTTAGAAGTGCATTCCCACGGCAGCCAATAGTACCCAAATTATAACTGTATTTTCAGCTGCTTTTCCCTGAACCTTCAGTTCATTAGGCAGTTTGCTTCTGAGTTACTTAGGAGACATTTTGTTAAATAATTTGCCGCTGCCTTTTATTTCCATCTTTTAGCCTCCAGTGCCTGGATCTTTGCCACCAGACTGCTAAGCCAGTGCTCTGTAGTTCTTTTTTTTTTTTTTTTTTTCCTAACTCTGTAGTTCTTTTTACAGCAGCATTAGTACCACTTCAAGGCACTAATTTCTGTAACAAATTGTCCTTCAAATGTATGGAGGCTTAAAAATAATACAAATTTACTCCTTCATCAGGTAATCCTGAGCAGTACCAACTCAGGGAATGGCAGATGAGGGGGTGAGGCTAATTCTCTATGTAGTCATTTGGGAACTGTCAGGCTGACAGAATCTATTATCCTGTACAGATGGGTGAAACTGAAGCCAAGTAATCTGTGTAAAAGTACACAGCTTGTCAGTGCAGGTTCCAAAATTCTGACCACCTCAATAACTGGGAAAATGGTATGAAGGCTATGTTAACCAGTTTGATGAAAATATTTCAAATTGTATATGAAAACACCGCACTGTACCCCATGATTGCATTAATGTACACAGCTATCTATCATTTAATAAAAAAAGAAAAAAAAAATTCTGATCACCTGCTTCTGCCCAACCTTTTTTTTTTTTTTTTGCAGTTTTTGGCTGGTCTGGGTTTGAACCCACCGCCTTCAGCATATGAGGCTGGTGCCCTACTCCTTTGAGCCACAGGCGCTGCCCTAAGCTCAACCTTTTGACTACCACATACTATTCCTAGGTTTGAAGATACCTGGACGAGCTGCACAGCCAAAGTTTTTATATATAAGCCAAATAGAAAACTGATGATTGCTTAACACATTCATTTGCTAGGAGTACGTCCTTGTCTTATATTGAACAGTAGATTTTCCCTGGCACTTATTTCTTGGAGCCATGTAAAATAAAGATTATCCCTTTAACACTTGGCAAACAGAACTTTCATGTCCTTTCTTGTTATTTTGTTTGAGTGAAATTTCCCGTTCTTTGATTTGCGACCTAAGATTTTAGCTACTTCTAAAGTGAATGCCAGACCTCAGCTAGATTTTTTTCCATGAGAGGTCTGACCAACATGCAACAGAAAGGAAATATCTCCTCTCCAAACTTTAGATTTTTCTACTATGTGTCTTTGTTTTTCTAGGGTGATACAATTATGGAGACAGGAGAAGTAATTCCACCGATGAAAGAATTCCCTGATCAACATCATTGAACACTACTTAAAAATTTCAAAAGCTTATGAGCTCAAGTGTATTACCATATTACCAAATTTACTGAATGTATTTTCTGGAAAATAACTTTAATAAAGTTTACTCTGAGAATGTGTTGTCAAATTTCTTCCCAAACATTATACAATTTGAAACTTTTGAATAATTTAACAATAGTAAAAATGGACACGTTAAACAGATGATAGATGATATGAGAGATCACAACTTTTTCTATTTTTGGCTTTGAAAACAGGATGTAGAAAAGTATATAGTCACATGATAGTATTTTTTTTTCTGATAGAGTACTTTAATTTGGCGTGAGAGTATTCAACAGTGTGAAATGGTGCAACAAATAGAAGAACAGAAGTTCCACATACTTTTGATTTCAAGGCTGAGGCATTTTTGAAGAAATTTGGAAACTCGGTTGAAAAGCTTATGATTCCATCCATGCTCTGATACCCAAAGACTGTCAGATCTAGGTTGCTTTTAATTTTGTCATATGAGAATATAAAAGACTAAAATCTCTAAGGATTTGAAAACTTCATTTTAGTGCTTATTATAAAGGACTGTTCAGAAATAAAACTGCGAATTTTGTTATTTTATTTTTAAATTTACATAGATGTCAGATAAGCATGAGGAAAAGAACTGTAATATTTAAAGACAATTAAATCCAGAGGAGTTACAAATGTTCATTCATCCCAAAGATTCTGTCTGGGTATTCCTTCCTTAGCTGTCGTCTCGCAGCTACTGTTGATGCATAGATGACGTATCCCCATGAGAGAAAAACGATCGCGAGCAGCAACTGAAAAAAAAAATCACATACAAAACGCTAAAAGGGACGTAAAAGCAAAAACAACCATAGAGTGCCAGGTAATGCCCCCCGCCCCTGTCAGGTTACTGGGGACCACTCCTACCTGGTAGTTACAGTGACAAATTGGAATAAATGGAGTTGCAGAGGCGGGTACACCCAGCAACTATTACGTAGGAAGCGGAAGAGCTTATCCTCCAGGAAGGGGTGGAGTCGAGGTGAGAGGGTGAAACGCTTAAATGAAGAATGGGTTTTGGAATTTGGGGGCGCTGAAGAAATAGGGCCTTTTAGCCTGCGGGCCCAGGCAGTCGACACCGTGGAGCCCGGGCAGACCTGGAACCTACCGCTGAATAAATCCAGTCCAGGGTGCGGCGACTCACTGGCTTCATGGTAAGGAGGCGGCGGCGGGTCGGAGGAACGGGCGGGAATTGCGGGCCCTAGAGTGACCTCTCAGGCGGTGCCTACCGGACAGCTGCGGCCATCTTTCAGCCGGGCGCGCATGCCGGCCCCCTAGCTTCTAGGAGCGTGTTGTGCAGTCTGGCTGGCGTCTTCCGCCCGGAGTTGGGGGTGGATCACGTGGTCGGTCTCTGCTTGGAGTTGGAGGATGGGATCACATGATCGGGGGCCTATCCCGCCTTTTAGGGAAGGAATGAAACGAGAAAATACGTTAAAAAAAATTTTTTTAAAAAAAATTTTTACTGTACCACTTAGGGAGGTAGGCATGCCTCCTCCATTGGTTTTCTTTCTAGTTGCAGTGCGTTATTAATGCAGAATTATGTGCTGTCGTGTGCATTTAAAAGTTAACTTGAAAAATAATTCATGTTTAAAATATACCAGCGTCTGCGGCTTGAAGAATTACCATTCACTATCCCCCGTATTTGTTCCCATATAATATAGCTAGACGTTTGTGTGTTCATCTTTGGCATAAATAAGAATGCCACCCACTATAGTAACAGTAACATGATTTTGAGAATCCCTGTCAATTAAGTCATTCTCCAAAAAACTTATACGGTCTTTGAGAACGCAGTAGCTGGTTGATGTAAATGATGCCTCCAAGAAGAAATACGTGGCACTCGTTACCCGCCATAATGTACCAATCAACAAGTGTTTGTTGGGTATTTAGTCTGGGCTTAGAGAGGCAGCAAATACGAAATATTAAGCCGAAGTACGGCATTTGGTACGCGAGGGCACCAAGGTCAGTTCTAGAATGTTTAGTGCACTCACAGTTGAGGCCCGAGTAGTAGAGTCTGGCAACGGGCCCCTTTAGTCTGACTTTCTCTTTGTATACATCTTACATATCACTTGAAGAGTTTAATCTAGATTCTGGGAGAGGGAAGGAGAAAAACAGAAAAATCATATCCGTTTGGGTAAGTGCAGACCCTGTACTGGTAGATCATCTTATTTCTCCCCAGAATGGAGTAGATCTCTCAAGACTCTCTGTAGGATAGATACTGAGTGGGCTCTGGTTTTGAATCCCTTTTGAATCCTAATGTTACTTCTAGATGTAGAGGTGACATAACTTTATACGCTATAGAGATAATTTTAGTAACTTTTACAGCTTGGTGAGGTTTAAATGCGATCGAGTTTTCCGGCTAAGTTAGGAGCGAATCTTAAACTAGTGTGTTCATAACCCCCGGCGATTAATAAAAAGGGACCGGGCTGGCGTTGCCTTCCGACCGTTTGAAGAGCAGTGGGGGAAGGGCTGCGTCTCAGTGGGCCCCGCCCCCAGTGCAGGCTATCTCCTGCGCATGCGTCACAAAGGCGGCTGTTGTGTTTTGACGCACCGGGAGCTGAAGGTGGGTGGGTTTCGCTTTGCTCCGCCTCTAAACTGCCATTGGTGACGCGCGCTTTACATCACAGGGGTCCAAGCAGCCGCTGGGGTCTTCGCTGTCTCGCGAGGAGGGTGAAACGCCCCGGCCTGCTCCTGCTGCTGAAGGTAGGCGGCGAAGTCGCCGGGTACGCCTCCGCGGATCCTGCCGCCACCGACCCAGCTTTTTGGGCCGTCGGGAGCTTGCTACGAATGCCCCAGCCGGGTCTGCGCCGGCATCTTCCGAGGTAAGTGAGATTCGGAACAATGGGGCGCGGGGGTCGGAAGGGCTGCGCGGGTTGGCCCTCATGCCTGGAGCGAGGCCCGGGGGTGGGGGCTGCGGTCTCTGCCCCAAGTGTGGCGCGGGCCTGGGCGGGTAGGGCTCTGTCCTGGCGGGCGGCTCCTGCGGCGCACCTGTGGATTTGGTGTTGGTGGGCGGGTGAGGGTTACCTTTCCAAGAAGCGCTCCCAAGGGGTGAGAGCCTAGTCGAATACTAGAAAGAGTTTGGTCTGTGGGGAAAAATCAAAACGCTGGGACTTGATTGGTGGCGTCGCCACTGGCAGGGCTTGTGACCTTGGCTAGGTTTCCTAAGCCTCTGAACCTTTCTGTAAAATGGGACTATTTTAGTTCGTTGTGGTTATGTAATGCACATGGCGATTATCTTAGATACTGGCCAGCGGCAGTTCTCAACCAAAGAAAGCGACTATTACTGTGATTCCTAAGAGTTGTCTGCTCAGGTTACATACGCTGGGCTGCTGAGCTTGCCTGCCTGTGACTTCTTCGTATATGCAGTTAACACAGCTTTCCACGTGGGCTGTTGATTTGTAGACTGCAAAGGGGGTTCAGTGCTGAGATGAGGCAGGTAGTGATTTGAAATGAAAAGGAAATAGACTTTTTGATATTCGTTTTTCAAAAGCAATTAAGAAGCAGCTACCTAAATTCTTTTTTGTTGTTTTTCCTTTGTTTTTTTGAGACAGTGTCTTTTACTTTGTCATCCTCGGTAGAGTGCTGTGGCGTCACAGCTCACAGCAACCTAAAACTCTTCGGCTCAAATGATCTTTTGCCTCAGCCTCCCAAGTAACAGGGATGATAGGCGCTCCCTACAACGCCCAGATATTTTTAGAGACGGGGTCTCGCTCTTGCTCAGGCTGGTCTCCAACCTGAGCTCAGTGTACCCGCCTCGGCCTCCCAAGTGCTAGGATTGAGGGTGTGAGCAGGATTGCTCACGCCTGCAATCCTGTCTTGCCCGTGAGATTTTTTTGTTTATTGCTTTTTAGTCCATGATCATACTTATCTGGAATGAATTGCTTCAGAGGCAAACAGTTTCCAAGCAGTTCTTTCTCTTGTTCGAATTAGAATTAAATTTGTTGATCCTATCACTTTTGTGTTTTCAGTTAAAAGAGGTACAGTGATTTCTTTGAGGTAACAAGAGATAGGGGCCAGATTATTTTTAATATTCAGGGTGTCGGGCAGCGCCTATAGAGCTGACTGAGTAGGGTGCCGGCCCCATATACCGAGGGTGGCCGGTTCAAACCCGGTCCTGGCCAAACTGCAACAACAACAAAAAAACAGCCGGGCATTGTGGCACGCGCCTGTAGTCCCAGCTACTCGAGAGGCTGAGGCAAGAGAGTCACCTAAGCCCAAGAGCTGCTGGAGGTTGTGAGCTGTGATGCCACAGCACCCTACCAAGGGTAACAAAGTGAGACTCTTGTCTCTTAAATGTATATGTATAAAAGGTGTCTTTCTAGTTCATCCACTTGTGTCTTTGTAGCCACTTGGCTTAAATATATTGAGTATAATAATTAGGTATGATGATTATTTGGTAGTTATACACTATTCCTTGGTCCCTTATTATCAGTTATGTGGGATGAAATGACCAAAATTAACTTTATTTTCACTATAACATGAAACAGTGTTGAGTTCTTAGAGTACACTAATAACAGTGCAAAGGGTTTACATGGAGTACATCCTTTACACAACTACTTTTTCAGATGTGTACAGTTCATTTACTTCATTTTAAAATTGAGAAAAATTTTAGATTATGAGAAAACTTCTTCCAGATCACACAACAAGTAAATGGTAGTGATTCTTGACCTTGGATGTACATAGGATTAACATCACTCCCCCAGTGTAATCAGATGATTAAATTTTATGTGCAGTGAATGGCGTGGAAGATGACTTTTATAGGAAGTCTGACTTTACTTTTTTTTGAAACCCAACTTTATAAAAAATGTAATTCTACAGAGCAGTCCTACTTTGTTTACATCATTGTAGTTTTTCAGATGTTCAGTTTATACACTTTTTTTGATTCCTTTCCTAGATAATGTGTGCTACTTAATGATTTGAAATTCCCCTAAAATTATGACATGAAGGATTCTATTCTTAAACAGGCAGATTGACTTAATCAGTTTATTCTGAAGATTCCATAAACTTGAAGATTTGGAGACATTTAGAAGTGGGAAGGTTAATCAGAACTGATTTTGATTAATCTTCTATATGGAAGAATTACAGTCCCCATTTTTTTTTTTTTTTTTTTTTTGAGACAGAGCCTCAAGCTGTTGCCCTGGGTAGAGTGCTTTGGCATCACAGCTCACAGCAACCTCTAACTCCTGGGCTTAAGCAATTCTCTTGCCTCAGCCTCCCCAGTAACTGGGACTACAGGTGCCCGCCACAACACCCAGCTATTTTTTGGTTGCAGTTGTCATTATTTGGCAGGTCCAGGCTGGATTCGAACCTGCCAGCTCTGGTGTATGTGGCTGGCGCCTTAGCTGCTTGGCTACAGGCACCAAGCCTATAGTACCAGTTCTTAGAATGTTTGGGTAGGGAAACCTTTACAGACTTCTGGAACCTGAAACACTGTGTTTACATCAGTCCACCTTTGTTACCCGAACCCAGAACCTCCTGCAAATCTGCCAATCTTAATCTTTTAACCATCCCAGTTTTTGTCTTGATTTGTATTTTTTCTTTTTTGCAGCTCCTCCAGGACATGAATCTTGATTTGTATTTTTAAACACCTTTGTTGAGATACAGTTTACATTCCATTCGTAAAGTTCTACTGTTTAAAATATTCAGTAATTTTTTAGTTTACAGAGTTGTGCAGTCATCACTGTAATCTAATTGTAGAACATTGTTATCATCTCAGAAATCTCATTATAGTCCTTGCCAACCACCAGTCTACTTTCTTTCCACCTCTGTAAATTTGCCTATTCTGGATATTTTATGTAAATAAACTGCGTCTTTGTGACTTATTTTTCCTCCAGTTTATTCTTTTGAGATTTTGATGTTCCATGTGAATGTTCATATATAAGTTTTTGTATGAATGTGTTTTCATTTCTCTTGGGTAGATCTCTAAGTATGGAATTGCTGTGTCATATGTTATTCTACTTCATTTGTATTTTGAGACACATTTAGTATTCAGTGATGATTTTAAAGAGGTAATCCCTCTTTTAAATAGATATGCTTTGTGGTTTGATGTTTCTGATGAATATTATTCTTTGTAGCTAAAGATTCCTATGTAGAAATAATGAGAGAATCTGATTTATTTGTTCTTTTTTACTTGTTATGGAGGACATTAGCAGTTTTTCTTTAGCCTTCTGCTGTGAAAGTGGTTAACAGGCTTATAAAACTAGATGGAGAGAACTAAGGTTTCATATTTTTAAAAATAATGCTTCATTGATATTTTATTTTATTTGAACTTTATACTACCTAGTAATTTCCTTTAATAATTATTCTGGGTTGTAATTTTTTATACATTTCCAAACATTGAAAATGTTTGTGTAAGCTCAAATTCTACACTAAAATTTTACATTCCAAAGAAATAAATGAAGATAAAAAATATTAATTTGTAATCAGCAGTCTTTTTTTACAAGTCTAATAATCTCTTTGTTATATAGAGAAGAAAACTAAAGTCTAGAGTTATGTGGATTTCTTTGGTTTACAGAGCTAGTTTAGGTAAAACCTGGTTTTCAGACTAGGTCTCCTTATAACCTCTCCAGTTCCTTCCCTGCTCTTCTCTATCCCTTCATTCTAACACATGCACACTGTCTTTGATCATAAAGGTTTTTATTTTTGTTTTTTCCCCCTGAATGGGATGGATGTGGGGGGAAAAAAAGATACCTTAGAAGTAAAGAGAATGCTGGGAGAGTTATATGGTACTAAGGTTCAGTGTTTAAGTATCTTAACAAAAAAGCAGTTAGTATTATGAATTTATGATTCTGTTTCTCCAATCCTGTTAAATAGTTCAGGATAGTGGTGATTTTTGCATTTCAAGTGCAGAACATAGAAGATGAAAAGTATTTAGACTCCTGAAGAAGCATTTATTTAGCCTTAATTCTCTGTTGGAAAGCCAAAATGCCCTAATGAGCAAGTTCAATTTGAAACCTATTATGGAATACTTAAGCTTTTCACCATAGGTTTTTGTTGTGGATTTTGTTTCTTGGTTTTTCTTACAGTTTGTTAAGGCCAATGAGTCTAATTAGAAAATTACAGTTCTATTATTTGAATAACTTAACATCAGTTGACTAGTGATAGAACTTCCTATGATAGAGGAGGTGGAGGAAGATAACTAATAGGAAACATGAAGGAAAAAACTAATATTTAATGTATACAAAGTGGTAAGTATGGAATGCAGCTAAAAAAGGGGTTTATAGATTAGGCCAAAATATATATAATGTACTGGATATATAATGCATACTGGATTTCAGCTGTGGTAAATTCATTTTGTAAGTTGTGAGCCAATGTAAAGTGATAAATTTAAAACTAATCTTTTAACACCCAAGTGATTCTTATGGAAAAAGGTACTAGGGAAGGGGACCAAAACCATGACTTCATGATACTTAGTGGCTTGATTTTTGAAGATTTCTTAGGAATGCTGAAAGGAATAAGTGATTAGCTGGATACAATAGTGTAGTAATAACAATAATGATGTAGTGCAGTAATAGTAGCAGCTAACATTTACTCAGCAGTTACAATGAGTCACCTTTTATACTTGAGTGCTTTACATTTAAATTTTTTATTTAATTTTCACTAAAAGATTTTTTTAGTAAAAACCTTTTGCTGTAGAGAATTGGTTTAACAGTTCTCTGGGGTGTAAATTCTGTCTCACCACTATTTTAGAAAAGTACATATACAAAATATTATCACATGAATTATATAAAGTAATATTATTAGGGCCATATATATTTAAAAGTTATAAAACTATACATAAAAATAACAAGTTAGGAATGTGGCATTTTTTTTATCTTTAGAGTGTTAGAATCTATCTTCTGTAATAGAGGAAGATAAGGATCATTTTTAAAAGTCTGTAATAACCATGAGAAAAGTAGAGTTTTTAAATGTGGGTGGTGGATACATGGGTACATTGAATGTTCTCTTTGTATTTGTTCATATATGTCATACATTGGAGTATCACATAATGTTGAGAGCTTACAATGTACTAGGGACTTTTTCTAAGGGCTTTTTACATCTTCACAAACCTTGTGTGGCAAGTTCTATTATCATCGACCTACAGGTGAAATTATAGCACTGAGATAATAACTGGTCCACAGCTACAGTGTGGAACTACAATTTGATCCCAGGAAGTGTGACTTTAGAGCTTATGCTTTTAGCACTACATTACTATGCCTCACTGCCCTTTGATGTTACAAAAGTAATGAATCGCTCAAGTATTTTCACCAAAGTATGTTTCAGGTCTTTATTTGCATTTTTGTTCAGTTGATTTAGTCATTTCGCTTTTATTAGGTTACTGATATATTTCTTTCCCTTTTACAGATAATGGCATCAGCTGCTAAGGAATTTAAAATGGACAACTTTTCACCTAAAGCTGGCACTAGCAAATTGCAACAGACAGTACCAGCTGATGCATCTCCCGATTCTAAGTGTCCTATATGCTTGGATAGATTTGATAATGTATCTTACTTAGATCGCTGCTTACATAAGTTCTGTTTTCGCTGTGTACAGGAGTGGTCAAAAAACAAAGCTGAATGTCCATTATGTAAGCAGCCTTTTGATTCTATTTTCCATTCTGTGAGGGCAGAAGATGACTTCAAGGAGTATGTCCTAAGGCCTTCATACAATGGTTCTTTTGCCACACCTGATGGTCGACGATTTCGCCGTAGTCTAAATGCTGTTTATGTACCTAGCAGTACCATGAATAGAAGAACAACAACTCCACCAGATAGTGGAGTACTATTTGAAGGGTTAGGCATTTCGACAAGATCTAGAGATGTTGAGATGCCTCAGTTTATGAGACAGATTGCAGTAAGGAGGCCAACTACTACAGATGAAAGATCTTTGCGGAAAATTCAAGAACAAGATATTATTAATTTTAGACGAACTCTCTATCGTGCTGGTGCTCGAGTTAGAAATGTTGAAGATGGTGGCCGCTATCGGGATATTTCAGCTGAATTTTTTCGTAGAAATCCAGCTTGCCTGCACAGATTAGTCCCATGGTTAAAACGGGAACTTACAGTTCTTTTTGGAGCTCACGGATCTTTAGTAAATATTGTCCAGCACATCATCATGAGTAATGTTACTCGCTATGATTTGGAGAGTCAGGCATTTGTATCTGATCTAAGACCATTTTTACTTAATCGAACTGAGCATTTTATACATGAATTTATCAGTTTTGCCCGCTCTCCGTTTAACATGGCAGCCTTTGACCAGCATGCCAATTATGATTGCCCTGCTCCTGCATATGAAGAAGGCAGCCATTCTGATTCTTCAGTCATAACAATCTCTCCAGATGAGGCTGAGACCCAGGAGTTAGATGTTAATGTAGCCACTGTTAGTCAGGCACCATGGGATGATGAAACTCCAGGACCATCTTACTCAAGCTCAGAGCAGGTACATGTCGCTATGTCTTCCCTTTTAAATACTTCTGACAGTTCAGATGAAGAACTTGCCACAGGCAGAGCTACATCTCAGATACAAGGATTACAAACCAATGAGGACTTAAATAATGACAGTGATTCTTCGTCAGATAATTGTGTCATTGTTGGTTTTGTTAAACCACTAGCTGAGAGGACCCCAGAACTTGTTGAACTGTCCTCTGATTCTGAGGAAATAGGCACTTATGAGAAAGTAGAGACAGTGAAGACACAGGAACAAGACCAGTCTTACAGTTCTGATGATAGTGGTGACAGTAGATGTTCATCTCCACACTCTGTCCTTGGAAAGGATGAGCAAACAAATAAAGGTCATTGTGATGCTGATACAAGAATCAAATCAAAGAAGGAAGAAAAACGATCTACATCATTGTCATCCTCCAGAGATCTAAGCTCATCTATGAGAGGAGACAGAGTATATTCTCCATATAACCGTAGACACAGGAAGAGGGGAAGATCAAGAAGTTCAGATTCACGTTCCCAGAGTAGAAGTGGGTATGATCAGAGGAATCACAGAAAGCATCATGGGAAGAAAAGAATGAAAAGCAAAAGATCCAGAAGCAGGGAAAGTAGACCAAGGGGAAGAAGAGACAAAAAGAGATCAAGAACTAGAGATAGCAGCTGGTCAAGAAGAAGCCAAACTCTGTCCCTAAGTAGTGAAAGTACAAGCAGATCAAGGTCTCGTAGTAGTGATCATGGTAAAAGATCACGGAGCAGAAACAGAGATCGATATTATTTAAGAAATAATTATGGAAGCAGATACAAGTGGGAGTATACTTATTATAGTAGAAACAAAGAGAGGGATGGCTATGAATCATCTTACAGGAGGAGGACTCTGTCCAGAGCTCATTATTCTAGACAATCTTCAAGTCCAGAATTTAGAATTCAGTCCTTTTCTGAAAGAACAAATGCTAGGAAGAAAACTAATCACAGTGAAAGGAAATACTACTACTATGAGAGGCACAGATCAAGGAGCCTGTCTAGTAACAGATCAAGGACTGCATCTACAGGGCCTGAGCGAGTGAGAAATGAAAAACCTGGAGGAAAACGAAAATATAAAACACGGCATTTGGAGGGTACCAATGAAGTGGCTCAACCATCGCATGAATTTACTTCTAAGGTAAAGGCCAGTCATTACCAAAAATCTTCATCAAAATTGGATGGAAACTATAAAAACGAGAGTGACAGTTTTTCAGACAGCCGATCATCAGACAGAGATACAAAACACAAGAGGAGAAAAAGGACCCGGAGCCTAAGTGTAGAGATAGTTTATGAAGGAAGAGCTACTGATACAAGCAAACATCATAAAAAGAAAAAGAAGAAACACAAGAAGAAGCATAAGAAACACCATGGAGATAATACTTCACGTTCCCCAGTTGTAATTACCATTGACAGTGATAGTGATAAGAATTCTGAAGTAAAAGAAGATGCAGAATGTGACAACAATGGACCTCAAGAACCTTTGCAAAATGAGTTCTTGGCTCCTTCCTTGGAACCGTTTGAAACTAAAGACATAGTTACAATAGAAGACGAATTTGGTGTCCTGGATAAGGAGTGTGATATTACCACACTTACTAACAATTTCAGTGATGCCAACAAAACTGTAGATCATATTCCACTCCCTGCAGCTTCAGTTGAACAGACTCTCGATGTAAGAGAAGAGAGCACCTTTACCTCTGATTTGGAGAACCAGCCTGATAATGTTGTGTCTATTCAGACTGAGCCAACAAGGCAATTGCCATCTCCACGGACATTAACGTCAGTGTTTCTTGGTAGAGACTGAGATATAGCTGAAAACTGCCAAAGCATTTCATTGAGAATTCTGGTGGTATAAAAAGGACAAAAAGGAACAATGTCATCAATTACAGTCTATTTAAAGATGACTTTTGTTGAAAATGTTTTTTCCCCTTAAAATATTTTAAGTGATTTTTTTTTGGTGTTAATTTGTAAAAAATATTATTTGTTCAAAAAGTATGTATGTCCCACCCTCAGAGATATGCACTTTTAAGTGAAGAAAGTGATATTGTTAGCAGTTTATTTAAAACTTGGGATCTTTTTAAATAAAAATATAAATTTTAGAAGTTATTTCATAAAGCCATATGGTATTGACATATTTTTGAGGTAACCAATGAGTATTTTTGAACTTTTTTTTTTTTTGAGAGTTATTCTGGAAATGTGTTATAAGCTAGAAGAATCCCTTTGGACAGTCTTTATTTTTCTTCTTAAAATTTGTATGACTCAAAACCATTTCTTGAGGCATTTTAATCTGCACAGTTTATCTTGACTTCTGCCAAAAGAAAAATTTACTATTTCCTTTATATACTTTATCTGGACTGTCAGTTAAAAAAAAAAAATGTGTATCAGCAAAAGAAAAAATAAAACAGTAACACTTTAAAACAATCAGAAATTTCCTTATGTAGCATTGCTTTAAAAAAAGATTTTAGTAGAGTCAGAATCTTAAACATAGCTAAGGGTATAATTTTGTCATAAGTCCCAAATTTCAAGTGATCTTCATTTACAAATACTTCACAGTTTTCATGATTTTAGTTCTTTAATCTCATCTTGAGGAGTATCTTATTTGCTTGTATTTAAAACTAGTGCTGTTTAGTAGTGTTTTGTTTACTAAAAACACAGAATGCCCTTGCCATATTTTTATATTTTGTCAATGTACAGAGTGTCTGTGTTTATCTTGATTGAGAGATGAGACGATAAAATTATATCTAGGCTGATGTAGGAATGCTAGTGAACTGCACAGCTTGAATGAAATCTCAATTTAGCCTTTAGTTTGCCTTGCTACCACATGTATTCATTCAGTAAAAATGGGAATGCCTGGTAAGTGATGGGTTCTGTACTAGGTTTTAGTGGTAGAGCAAAGAAGATACATTCCCTTGTGGGGTTTATGAACTATTTAAAGCAGAAAATATAAATATGACATTACGAACTATAATAAATCATCTGAAGAAAAAGTATACTTTCTTACAACAATATATAGTGGGGCCTGATCTTAGATGGCGGTAATAGTTGAATTGGCATCCAGAAAACAAGTATACATACATTAACTAGGAATAGAGTTGCTATTAGCAGAGGAAGATAAGAACAAAGATCCAGAGGTAGAAGGTGAGCCTAGTGTATCAAGAGCAAAAAGAAAGGCAGGATTAGCTGAAGAACAGTGTGGGAACAGGATTCATTGGCCATGTTTAAAACTTTTTTATCCTAAGGGCAGGACAAAATTGGTTTAAAATTATAAGACTCTAAAATTTATGTTGGCATTTTTTAGTAAGCTCAGACATTAAGAAACTGGGAAGACTAAGGCTGATCAAGAATACACATTGAAAATATGGGATTACTTTGTGATTACAATATTAACAAGTATTAAAAGCTAAGAAGGCTATTTTATTCCATGGTGTGGATTTCACATCATGTTTTCAGTTGAATATTTAATGAAAACAATACTTGGTACCATTATCCTCTTGGATGTTCAAGCAAAACATTTCCAAGTCCTCCCTGTCTTTCACCCTCCTCATCTAACCACCAAATTCTGGTCAGTAAATATTTTTCTAACATTTTATTGTGTTTATACCATCCTGTCTAGGTTGCCAAGATCTTTACTTACACTACCGTAGTGGATCTGGTCTGCATTCACTCCTTTTCCTCCTATCCATTCTTGATTTAGCATTCAAAACATCTTTTAAAATTACTTTTTTCACTTCATTCCCCTACTTAAAATCCATCAGTAGCTTCCCATTTTCTGAGAGTATTAAAAGCAGACAAAAAATTCAAAAATGTGAATTGGTTTACAAATGCACCTTATCAGGTTCTGGTCCATCTTGAGCATTTCTCTCACCTGATTTCTGGGAGGACTGTGGAGATAATCATTCCCCACTACATCAGAGCCTTCGTATGGCATTTTTCTTCTGCTGGAAGCTGAGCTCCATCCTGGCTAAACTAGGTTTCTGTTAAAAGTGCACCATCACCACCATCTTATTTCCCCTTAATTGCTCTTTGAACCCCAGACTCCAGTACACCTGTGACAATTGGTAATTGATTACTAAATGCCTTATCTCCTACCAGTCTGAAAGTGCTGTGACAACTCTATGTAGGGGTAGTGCTACATCCTTTTCACTTCACGTAGAAGTGCTTAAAATACTGGATGGATGGATAGGTCCTCGAGATTTTAGAAATGGACGAAAATTTGCCTTCTGTTTTCAAGAAGCTCCACTGTCTATACACTTTTAGCCTAATAGTGTATTTTAAGGAATATACTTTGTCCTTGAATAAGAACTGAGTCTTTCATGCTTTTTGATTAATGATCCTGCCTTGAAAACTTGTTACTGCTTTTTACCTCCTAAGTAATGAAGTTTGACCTCAGTTCTTCATGCCAGCCAGTCCAGGGCATTCTATAGTAAAGATAGGCAATGTGTATACAAAGGGGCATGGACTATGCCAGACAAGCTGATGACAACCACACATGAAGGGAATTCTTCCTTCACAAGGAATAATTGCAGTCTCCTGCCATCACAGAATGGAGACATGCTGAGCCAGCCAGTAGCACATCTCTGGACTTGGAGATGTTTTCAGAAGATACTTTGGGGTGCTATAACCCAAGTATGGTCTGGTTTGGGTTGTTGCTAGCCCTGTAGCTAGAGAAAGGGTTTTCTTTGTCAAAAACCTGATGTTATCAGCATTCTGGGTGTAGATGCACCTTTTGATGGGAATCCTAGAAGTCAGACCATGAAAGAATACAAATTAGAGGCAGATAAAATCAGAAGAGGCTTTTTATTGTTTTTTAATTTAAAATGAGAGAGGCTTGAGCCTTTGGGATAGAGTCCCTGACCCAGGAAAGGTTGAAAATAAAGGAGAACAGTAACTGACGAAGCAAAGTTCCTGAATGGGAGAGATGAACCAGAGCATAAGCAAGTGAATTAGCGGCAAAGGCAAGTCTTCAGTTTAAAATGGCAGGAGGTAAAAGTAGATGTGTGGGGGTAGATTAATTAAGACGAGATATGCATACCCTAAGTCTCTCTTCATAAAATAGGAAGAATGCCATCTTCTGGGAATGATGGGGCTTGAGTAGACTACATCTTGAGAGGAGCAGAAGGCATGGAGAGAGCCAAGAATTGCTGATTAATATTGTGGCCTCACCTGAGATGCAGTATTTAAATACGTGGGACACTAAAGATCTGTGATTTCTTCTTGTCCTGGAAGTGTTCAACACTATAGGAGTAGAAATAGAAACTGATATGGACATAGAAATACTTTGTGAATAAGTAGATGGATTTATCTGCTGGAGTTCTGCTGGACATGAGTAGTAAAAGAATAGAGCAGTAAGGGAGTTGAGGAAGATACTGGTGACAGTAGCCAAATTGTTAAACATTCTGGTACCTGGACTGTGTAGGAAAGGAAGTGAAGCTATGACATGACTAATATCCTTGGAGAACAGGGTGATATCAAGGGGTTCATCTACTCCATGCCTAGGAGTGTCTAATCCTAGGCATGGGTAGAAGTAGGTAACTGGAATTGAGAATGGTGATCGGCCAGGCTGTAAATATCCTCAATATGAAAGTTACTGGGTGATGGCGAGAGATACAGGACAGAAAATGGTAGTTGTATTACGGGAATTATATTTGCCTTTTATATTTGTGTTCCTTCCCAGCGCAGCTGACAGAGGATAAGAAAAACTTGCTAAATAAATAATTTCCTGATTATGGGTTTTTAGTTAATGCCTGAATCACTAGGTATTGGAAAATAGTGTGGAATATAACCATTTATAAATATATGGTAAGACTAGTTTTTATGATGTCATGAAAATCAGTAAATCTTCCTTGGCCTACAAGCATATTGGGAGATGGTAAACATCGTTGGATCTAAGACTGAGCAAAGCAAGAAGCAAAGAAGATGAAATTCAAGGTAGGCTAAACTCTAAATTCTTTCCTGTACAATCTGCAACTATGATTGGTCCAGAACGGTGGGTGCTAATATACTTTTATATAGACAAGAAGGGACAAAATTAGGCATCTAGAATTTGCCTGGAGTGGGCTGACCATGGCCTTATCTCCATGACCGTCTGCACTTCAAATAGGTAAATAGTTCTTTCCTAGGCAAGAGGATATCTCTTTGCTTTTCTATCTGTAAAATTCCTTTATTCACACAAAATTGAGTACATATGGTTCAAGACTATGCTAAGTGCTAGGAATGTAAGAATGAATAGGATACCACTAACAGGAATTTTAAGGAAGGTAAGAATGCAACAGGAATTTTAAAGAAAGTAGATTTGTTCCAAAGAAACAAGTAGTAAGGCAGAAGAAAGTATGGACTGGGAAGGCCTTAGTAAAAGACTTTAAGAAGCTTTTTTCTGCCTGGTGCAATGCTCACACCTGTAATCTTAGCACTCTGGGAGGTCAAGGAAGATGGATCTCTTGAGTTCAGGAGTTTGAGACCAGCCTGAGCAAGAGTGAGACCCAGTCTCTACTAAAAAATAGGAAAAATGAGCCAAGTGTGGTGGCTCTTGGCTGTAGTTTGAGCTACTTGGGAGGCTGAGGCATTAGGATCGCTTGAGCCCAGGAGTTTGAGGTTGCTGTGAGGCTAATGCCAAGGCACTCTAGCCTAGGTAACAAAGCAGACTGTTTAAAAAAACAAACCCCAAACAAACAAACAAAACAAAAAAACTATGTATGTATGAGAAAAGCTTGTATACAAGAACAGTGACAATGGTGTGATCCTGAGGAAAGGCTGGGTTTAAGAGACTTCTAAAGCAGACTAGGCAAGATATGGGCAACTCCAATATAGTAGCTACTAGCCTCATGTTGATACTGAACACTTGAAATGTGACTAGTAAAACTGAGGCACTGAGTTTTACATTTTATTTAGCTTTAATTCAAATTTAAATAGCTGTAGGAGGCTGGCGCTACCTTATTGGCCAATAAGGCATAGAATATTTCCATCATCACAGAACAGAGGATACCCATCGAGATGATCTCCAGAGGGTGTCTGGAAACAGGAGTGAATTTTGGAGATGAGATTGGGGCTATAGAGATGATATAGGAGTCACAGGAGAATAGAGAGGGTACTGTTGAGACGAGGGGAGGCTGCGCGACTCCAGAGGGAAGAGGAAGAGCAAGAGAAGCCGACACGTT